TTTAACAAAAAAAATGAACATGATTAATTCATTTTATGAGAGGATTTTTCCATGAATTTGAACAATGTTGTGATAGTGTGTCATTGGCATTTGCAAACTACAGCTTACAATGGTTTGTTTTACCGAGAAATCGAGCGCCTTTAATTGGTTGTCCTCCGCAACAGACATCGTAGCGAGGCTACATAACATTGGGGGCATTAGGAAGCTGCGAACGTCGGCACTGGTAGCGGCGGCGGCGGTGGTGGCGGCGGAGACACCATCATCATCGCGGCCGCCGCAATCGCCGCCCGAGTCGCCGCCGTCGCTCCCGTCGCCCTCGCCGCCGCCGCCGTTGGGCGCCGCTTCCCCGCCACCGCCGCCCGCTTCCCCGCCGCGGCCCTTGGCCTTGCCGCGCCTCCCGCCGCGGCCGCCTCCGCCGCCGCCGCCGCCGCCTCCGCTCTTGCCTCCCCCCGCTTTGAGCAGTGCGGCATCTGGGACAGGCAGCTCGCGCAACTCCGCCTCGATCCGACGCACGTTGGCGGAGTGTTGCTCGATCGCCGTCTCTGCGGCGGCGACGAAGCCGTCGCGCGCAAGCACACTGCTCATGAGGTAGCGGCAGGACGCCTCCCCCATCGCCCGGCGCGAGCCAACGCACAACATCTGAGTCAGACCGGCAGCCTCGAGCTTCGCCACGAGCGAGTCGATGGCTTTGTTTGTGGCGGTGCACGCGAGGATGCGAGACCTGCGCGGTGGAGACGTCAGTCAAAGACCTGCACGCGCACGTGCACATGTGTGTGTGGACAACATGACAACAACAACATGTACATGTGTGTGTGGACATGTGTGCGTGCGTGCGTGCGTGCGTGCGCGCGTGCGTTGTGCGTTGTGCGTTGTGCAGTCAGTGCAGTCAGTGCAGTGTCGGGGCGCGTGGCATATCACGATGGCCTGCTGGAAGAGTACGGTACTGTGCAGTGCATTCAGAGCGCCGCGCGAGTGCAGCGGATAAGAGACAGTGCATACGGCAGGACACAGTCGCCACTTGGAATACAAGAATGCGTATTCGACTGTTAGGATGCGCGACCTCACCCGCCAAGGCAGGCGTGCACTCTGCTAGTACTTGTGTGCTCACACCACTACACTGTGGGGGGTGACCGAGCATGATGTATGTGCGCGTCTGTGCGTGTGTGGGACAGACGCTCTTGTCCTACGCGCGGGGCTTCCCGCGGGGGACCAAAGACGTAGTACCGCCGCCGCTTCTAGGATGCGCGACCCGGCCGGGACGCGAGACAGGCAGGCGGCGGTGATGAAAGACGACTTGCCCGTGCCGGGCGGACCTGTGGGGAAAAGAAAACCACCAAAGGTCGGGGCGGCAGTGCGGCAGTGCGCCGCGCATTCGAAGCACCGCGTGGAGACGCAGGCCGCGAGCACGACGAGTGCAGGTGCGTGCGGCGGAGTGCGTGCCCTCTCGAGCGCTCGTCGGAAGGCATGGAGTATGCTGTAAGCCGTGTCCCGCGTCTAGACGCGCGGACCCTGCACCACCGTCACGGCGCCGTCGAGCCCGCACAGAGCAGCGCGCTGCCCTGGGTTGAGGCGCGAGAGCTGCTTCTGCACCTACATGTACATGTACCACACCTCCCGAGTCTCGAACCCGATGCGGTCCGGGTCGCGTCGGGAGAGAGAGCGGGAGAGAGAGAGAGAGAGAGAGAGAGAGAGAGAGGGAGAGAGAGAGAGAGAGAGAGAGAGAGAGAGCCGTGCTTCTGCACCGACGGAAGAAGGGACTTTTCGTCGAGGGGCGCCCACGGAGAGTGCGCCGCCGCCGGCGCGGCCTCCGGGCTGGTGAGGGCGGCGGCGAGGACGGGGTCGAGCTTGCCTGAGGACGCAAGGGAGAGGGGCGTCTCAGAGCGTCCCTCTGCGGCCAGCAGGCGGCACGCGGGGTCAACGCTTGCCGATCGAGCAGAGGGCGTGCACGCGCTGCAGCGTCGTGGACGCGGAGGCGAACTCCACGCACCGCGCCTTGACGCGCGGCAGATCGCGAGGAGGCACCGCCCTCCCGTGTCTCAGCGCCTCGGCGTCAAAGGTGATTGCGCGGAACTTCTAGCGGGCCCTGTCCAGGGAAGCAGGGAAGCACCGGCACCTTCCGACAGTTGCATTGCACGTCTGCCCGTGGTTGCGCCGTGTGTTGGCGGCAGCCTTTCGGATGCATCGCAGTTGCGCCGCGCGCATCTCGCATCTCGGATGCAGCTCGACCGCAGCGCGGCCGCATCTCGACCGCATCTCGACCGCATTTGGGCGGCGTTTGGGGGGCGTCTCGCCGGTCCGGTTGGTACCCAGAGATGTAGAAGACGACGCCGAATTCGGCGGAGAGCCAGAGCATGTGCATCGCCGTCGGGTCGGGCGCCGCCTCTTCATCCTCCGACTTGTTCTCCTTGATCTTGACCGTGAGCCACTGCGCGCCGCGGGACGAGTCCTTGACAGGTCCGAGGACGGAGATGGTGCACTCGATGCCGCGCGGCCGCTTGAGCAGACCCTCGGTGACCTGGTCGGGGAACTCCTCGCCCACCAGCTTGAGCCACCGGTGGGCGTACGCCCCCAGCTCCTTGGTTGGCCCGCCTCGGTAGCTGATGAGCGAGTCCGTGTCCTTTCCGAGAAGCGTAAGCAGCGTGTTCTCGGCCTGCTCGGCGTTGTCGAGGAGGCTCGCATTGGGGTTGGCCGCCGGCGCCGCGGTGGGGACCGCGGGCGCCGGCGCAGGAGGGGAGGGCTGTGACTCCGCGATGCTTGCGAGGCTGGCTCGCTCGCCCGGTACTAGCCGAGGTGAACTACTAGCCGCGAGAGTTGGTCAACAAGGGAAAAGAATTTTTTACACGTCGTGTTTGTTATGACCCCCCCCCCCCCCCCCGATGAACACACCAGTGAGGGAGGGCGAGACGATCGAGGGGTCCCGTACCATGCGGAATCGACCCTATCCAGTGCTCAAAAAAGAAAGAAAGAAAACAGACAACCCAAGGGAGGGATGGGAGGACGGCACGCCGCCACCACACAGGGATTTTAAGGAGAGGTGTGTGGTGCGCTATCCGTCGCCTACCCTAGGGAGTCTGCCTCTTCCTATCTCTCTTCGCAGTCTCTCGCCGATTCTCGCTGCAACCTTCATGCCACCTCGCGGTCGTCCCACCCTCGTCGTTCTCTCCCTTGTCACTTCCTCCTCTGTCGCGTTGTTCTCTTCTGCCTCGTCCTGCGACGCCGCCACCTGCCGGTCCCTTGTTCTCGCGGCTTCTTTCGCCTGTCGGCGCAACTCCGTCCTCCTCGCGGCGTATCCTGGCCCCTCGAGTCTATCGAGCTCCCCTCGCGCAAGGACCACATTTCTGACTCCCACTCCGATCATTTGCCTACAGGTCATGTTGTTGCTCAGGTCCACTCTCTCTTCGAACACTCGTGCCTCTACGGATGATGCCGGCGCTGGGGTCCCCTTCGGATGCATCGTGACATCTGACAACTGGATTTCCACTGGTTCGTCCTCCTCGGAGTCATCTTCCCCGTCCTCCTTCCGCTCGGCTCTTCGCTCGGTA